TACTCGTTCTATATTAGCTCCCCCAATTTTCAATTGAAGTTCATTATCTAGTCTATGATTCCCAAATACCATAAATTTAGTTTTATCCAAATTCAGAGATACTATATTACTGTCACACCATTTCTTTATCTTCTCAAGTTCCTGTGTAACCCATCCAGATAGTTGCTGTAGGTTTTCACCCGATGCCCATATGGTAGTGTCATCAGCAAACAAAACCATTTTCACTAAATCAGAAACCTTGCATATATCATTAATGTATAGTATAAATAATTTAGGTCCCAAAACAGAACCCTGAGGCACTCCACATACAATGTCCAGCTCATTCGATTGGTATTCACCCAACTTCACAAATTGATGCCTCTGTGTCAAGTAACTTCTAATCCAATTCAAAACCAATCCCCTGATCCCATATTTTTCTAACTTATCCATTAATAACTCATGATTGATTGTGTCAAATGCTTTTTTTAGGTCAATAAATATTCCCATCATGTATTTCCTCTCATCCATAGCACTTGTTATGTCCTCCATTAGCTCAGTAATGGCCAGGGGTTTCTCAATTACCCGCTGTTTAGATTGTTACACATCTCTTTTAATTGGTACGTATACTGTTGTTTTCCTATCTATTGAGGAGAAATTCACATTAATTAATGCTGTTGCCATTTATTGTGCTGTTCACTTTCATATTGTCACTCAAACATGCCAGGTAGGATTTGAGGTATTGTCACTGTCGAAAATGTATCTTTCAACGTAGCTCTTTTGTTTATGCATTGTTATAGCATCCTGGTGGTCAACAGGAATTGTGCAAGTTCGCAAACTATTCTCTCATTTTCAGGAGGAGGCCCTCCTTGTGATAGCAGGTTTTATTGGTCTGAAATAATTACAAATTATTTGATTATGATGGGTGCAAAGCTACCCAAGAGCAGAGTGACAAAATAGAAGTGTGCCCATAACCCAGAGGTCATTGGATTGAAACCATCCTCTGCTAAAATTCAAAGTTACCAAGTAGCCAGACGTTATCTTCTGTGGGCAACTGTGGTTCAGTAGGTAGAGCGGTTGTCTCCCAACCGGAGGTTCGGAAATTAAAATCTCGGTGCCTGCAGTCCACATGTTGACATGTCCTTGGGCAAGACACTGAACCCCAAGTTCCCCCTGATGGTTAGAGCCATCGGTGTGAGATGGCGCCACAGATGGCTGCCTCGGTTCTGTACCGGAAACAAATTCCTTGTGTGTGTAACATACTTGGCTAAATAAAGTGATTATCCTTAATCTAGAGTTACCCAAGATAAAAAATTAATTGGCTGAAAATGAGCATGCCATGGGCTCTTTAACCCTATATACAACAGCATGAAGGGAGTACAATTATATAACTTTGGTACTTTTTGGATCCCTGCTAGGCACTTTTATACAGTCAAAAAAACAAACAAACAAACTATGGACAGTTTTGGAAATTTGCTTATTTGCTCAGTAACATACTCAAAGGAAACCTCTTGGCTGTACATTGGATTTTTAGCCTTTATTAATTAAAACCTGTAAAAACCTTTTTGGAATCTTCTGGAGTAAATTTATCATTCATTTTGTTTAAATGTTGATGTCCAAAAAACCTTTATCTCTGTTCTTGGTTTTCACTCATTCCTGTGGGAAATTTCAGGCTCTTTAGTTGTTCAATGCTCCATTATTTTCATCAGCTAGTCTCAAAGTGTGGGTACATCCTGTGTCTCTTGTAAACACCAACATTTCTCTCACTTGCATCTTTTTCTTGCATCTTAGACCTTAGTCTGTGGGATGCGCTACAAAAACAAGTCCAGCTCATATATGTACTTTGCTGTTGCATTGGAGTTTAAAAGGTTGAGAGATCAACCTAGTCCCTGGCCCTGGGTCAAGGAGAGTCCAAAATGGCTCTTTAACTTTTAAATGATCTTCTGGAGTAATTTATCACATATTTGTGGAAACTTGAGTATATGTGAGTCACATAAAACCTTCTTATTTGTGTCGTCCTAATATTCCTTGACATAGTTGGTAATTGACACAGCAAAGGCTTTAACCAGATGTAAAGGCCCCACTCACATGTGCAGAATTCTTCTTACTTCATACTATACACTACTCTTCTTCAGCAGCACATTAAAGCAACAAAAATGTATAATTCAGTCCTATTTACATGTACATCAAGGCACCTTCATTAACACTGTTAATATACAGTATATTGTGTACAGTGTGTACTTCAATAACTCTGCCTGACAAAAACAGAGTCTAGTGGATTGATTTCAGTTTGTATCTAAAGTCCACATCATAGGTTGGCTGCAGTATTCCCAGTCCAGCACGAGATTGGTCAAGAGGTGGGACTTTGACAGTGGGGTCCAATAGCTCCATGTCAAAGTAGGACAACATGAGAGCAAGAAACTGCTTGATCTCATACACAGCAAAAAATCTCCCAGGGCATTTTGTCACTCCAGAGCCAAAGGGCATGTAGAAGTAACGCAACCGTCGTCCACTGTGGTAAAAGATTTTTTTCTCCTCACCATTTTCATCAAGGAAACGATTAAACTTGTACTCCTGTAGCATGAGGAAGAGGAGAGGAGACGGAAAGATGAGTTTTTAGTGGGGAAACACAAATTCTAGTGATTTCCTGAGGAAGACAAAGTGGCCATTTATTAAGTCATAATTATATTGGCATCTTACGTAGGGATCCTCATAGATTTCTGGATTGTAGTGCAACATCGGCGGATATAGGGCAATGACATCATCTTTCCTGATACAGTAAGCTTCTTTGTTGTCAAGGTGAAGCAGGAAGTCTTCCTTGGCAACACGTACATTCATTGAAGCACTGGAAAGACGCATGGCTTCTTTTACGATGCTGTCTATAAACAGAAAGTAAACATAAAAACACAAAGAAGGAATGGTATCTAACTTTTCTATATTGCATTTAAAAGGACAAAACATGCACAAATTTTTTACACAGACCATAATAGTTTGTTGTATGCCATGAACTGAATCTTTTTTATGTAACTATTGAAAGTCTTACCCAAAATATGCATGTTGTCCAACTGGTCTCTAGTCAAGTTTAGTGTGGGGTTACAGGGGTCAACTGTCAGATTGGAATCCTCGAGAACTTTTCGCACTTCCTCATAAGCTGCCTTCATAGCGTCTGGACTCCTGAACCCAGACACAGGATGCTGTTAATCGTGTTAACTGTCACTGGTAGGGACACACTATTGCTTACTGATACTGGATCACCTATTTTCAGTTCCCTTTACTCAGGAACAGATACTTTCACCACAGCACCATGTGTAAAGTTCCTGGCAGTAATTGTAACTGTGATGCTTGCTATTATGTTGAAACAAAAGAGATGCACTGATTGCAGTTTTGTTGGCTGATTCTGATTTTCTTTCTTTCTAAGAATTGTAAGTGACAGCATACAGAAACTTTTTTATAACTTTTCTTTAATGAAAAATGTAATTGTAAAAAAAAAAAGTTTTACATTTCTCATATTTTCTCTCACTCAAACAAATACAAGTGCTCCAGGCAAACTTTTTTTTTTTTTTTTTTTTAGATTTTCTTAATTGTCTGTGTGTCCATGCCTTTTCCTGCCTTTTCCAGATGACTTTACAGATGCTCTGTTCTGAACAGCCAGAAATATGTTCTTATGTTTAAGTCACAACATGTTACTAGAGGTCGTGTGAGAATGTTTTTAGCTACACACCACTTAATCAACAGACACACACACATTGATTTGCTTCATGTTATGACTACTGCTATGACCAGCTGCAAAGCTGGTAACAGAGACGTCTCGGTTGACGTTTCTGTGTAGTATGGGGCTAGCCCAACCGAGGGGCTATAATGTATAGGCCTGGTGGGTTCAGGGTCTTTCATCTTACATCTGCCTGCGAGCAGTTTGGAGGTGCAAGATACCTGAGCGTGTAATGTTAATTATTACCTGTGTTCATGGAATAATTCAGCACTGTTTTGTAATTACTTAGACTGTCTCGTCTCTCAGAGTCAGTATGGTAAAAAGTACGGGGTACAACATTACAAACCTGCAACTAAAACTTAAGTGTAGTATTTGTGGCATACTTCTCCAAATGTGAACAGGTGCAACCGGTAACAGAAATAAGAATGTCTGTTACATTAATCCTACTGAAAATGCAGCTCTTTTTAAAGTGTGTGTAGTTTATTTGCTGTGCTTTATCATTGGTTGGATATACAAATTTCAAGTGTAACTACTAATTCCTGGATTCAGTTTTATTTGCCTGAGTTTTGTACTGTTTTCCTTTCTCCAAGGTGTATCTGTAGGTTCCTCTGTGTACTTTTTATACATCAAGCACATTCAATGTGCAAGTGAACATGTCTCTCTCAACATGCACACAAGCTGCTATATGATGCACATGCTTTGCCCTGTGTGCATGACACGAACCGTTACATATGTAAATCCCACTGGCACAGAACTGGATATCTCAGAGTGATTGGCTGGTCACTAGTCATTGCCAGTCAAAGCTAAAAACCAGCCAGTTCCAATCTCTAGTTAATTGATTGGTGCACCTTTAGTAAATAGTGCAAGAATTTTGACCTTTATTAAATAGAACCTGGACATGTGAACACAAACTAAAGTTATCATATTTGATATTTGTTTGAAAATGCCTTGCAGTGAAATACTGTCTGAAGTTTGTGACCCACAGACATCAGCGGACAATTTTCTCATCCCCTTCAAATACCACCTTAAAGCTGGAAATCAACACTTGTTCACATAGTTTTATTTCAAACTGAATGTGCTGGAAAAAGGGGACAAAACTATGAAAAATATTGCATTGTCCTAAAATGTGTACTAATGGTTGTACTTTGTAAATGAAAGTACACAATCACATCACAAAGATGCCTTCATGCTGCAACACCTTAATGCAACTCTGTTGCATTACCTGCTGTACTCACAATGAAAATGCATAAATGTGGTTTACAATGTGTGATGTTTTACAAGTATTTTGATGCTTTTGTCTCTTAAAATATGCTGCTACAGGAGAACATTGCCTTTACTTCAGCTCTTATTCCATCGGTCCAAAGCAGCTCCTGTTGAGCTTACAAATGAGTGCTTGCTATACCAAACTGTCTACATTTTAATATCCGTTGTATATGTGGTTTAAAAACAGAATTTTAGGTGCAGTACTTAGGCTATAAGTTTCACATGACAGTGTATGTTACACTGGTCTACTGGATTAGACCAGCCATTTGCAACTAAACCAGCTCTATTTGCCTGCAGTGGTAAAGGGCTTCTGTTGTTGCACTAGTCATCACTATATACTCCCAGTTAGCCTCACAGGAATTGTCTTTTGGAGTGAACTAAACTGAGTGGCTTGCCTTTCCTTAAATTTTAAAATCTACAGTACATTGCAAATTAGGCCTGCTAATCACTGCCAAGAGCTAGAAAGGTTTTTAGAACTGAACTTGAGCTGGCATCTGACTAGTTTCTAAATATAAACCCAAATCAAAATTTGCTTTATGACCCTTAGTCCCAGACTGCTTAGCATGGGAATTAACCAGATCTAAAGAATGCTCATACACAAGAGAACTCACAGTCTATACTACCCTAGTGAGTTGATCCATCTGCTGTGGTTGCCTTCTGTTTTATTTCCAGTTCAGTACAGAGACAGCTCAGCTTATTGGCATACCTGATCATATAAAACAGACTCCAGAAGGTGGCAGGCAGGGTGTTAGCCTGTGAAGCCCAAAGCAGAGCAACGTGTGTCCTGGACTTGCTCACATCACTGAAGGTAGATAAGGAATCATTCAGGATCATCCTCATAGATATCAGATCAGACACATTCTCCCTCTTGGACAATTTTTCGGCATGCATGGTCTTTGCTAGGCTCTAGACATTTGAAAGGAATAAAACATGTATAGACAAACACAATGTGCATGAGCTAACACACAAATAATTATAGTCTTTCATGTCCTTATTGAATACACCCATTAAACATTCACGGTGCTGGTGGGAAAAGTAAGTGAAGCCTTGGTCTAACCTCCTTTGGCAGCAATATCAAGCTTCTAGTATCTGTTATAGCATACTCTTTAAACATCACACTCAAAGAGCTTTACAATACGTGCACATTCATTTGCTCACACATTCACCCATTCATACACCAATGGTGGCAGAACAGCCATTAGAAGGCTACTGGGAGCAACAGGGTCTTGCTCAAGGACACTTTGACATGTGGACTGCAGAGACCAGGGATTAAATCATCAACCCTGCAATTGGGGGACAATCTGCTCTATCTCCTAAACTAGCTCCTGAACCCCAATAAGGGTTAAGTCTGGACTCTGACTTGACCACTCAAAATTTTCTTAGTTTGAAGTCATTCATTTTGCTTCAATGTTTAGGGCCGCTGTCTTGCTGTATCACTGAGCTCCAGCTGGTGGACACCAACCCTGACATCATCCTGTAAAATACCTTAAAATCATTTTCCCCTTGATGATGGCAAGCTTTCAAGCTCAGAGACAGAAATGCTGCCCTAAATCATGATGCTCCCTCCAGATTTCAGCTGTTACTCTGGGCTTCTGATTTTCTTTGTTGTGCCTTTGGGGTCATCTTAGGTTGGCGCTCACTTCTAGGCTGCTACAGAGCTAGATCATCTCCATTCATAGACAGTTTGTCTAACTGTGAGTGGTGAACATCTAAACTCTGTCAGGTTATGATAATGCAGGTCATTCCAAAGAGTTCACTTACTTTTTCTTACCACTGTAATTGCAGGAAAACCCACTAACCTCTCTGGCACTGTAGGCACTCTTGAAGACATGGATGGGCAGGCCAGCTACTAATGCTGGGAAGATCTTGTCAAATTCTTTGAAGTTCTCCAAGGTGTTGAGCACCAAGGCTTTCTGAGCTGCCTGTGTAGCCTGACACTTATCTTCACCAAACTCCTTACCAAACAGCGTCAGGTACCCAGACTCAAACATCACCTGAAGAACAGCAAACAGACCAAAAACTATTAGGACTGTTGGGAACATTGGCATGGAGCCTGTAGAAATATACAGTTGCCAAACTTAAATAGTTACTGAAGTCCAGTCCCCGTTTGGTAGTTTTTATGCAATTTTTCTTTTTTCAAGTTGCATCCATAACAATTTTTTTGTTGGACAAAACGTAAGCCAATTTTGTGAGCCAGTCTGACCCAGACTGTGTCCATTATCCACTGCAATTACAAACTAAATTAAATCAACAGTTATTTGTATCTTTATTTGTATAGCGCTTTACAACAATCCACAGATTGACCAAAGTGCTTCACAATCAATAAGAATAAAATCTTAACATAGACAATATACAGACAGGCCACAGGACCTCACAACAACAGAACAGTAATCCAAGTGTCAATAAACTACTGGAAGCCAAACGCTACATTTAAAAAGATACATTTTAAATTCTTATTTGAAGGAGACCACAACTGATATTAAACACAGTTCAAGGGGCAAACTGTTCCATAACTTCAGAGCAGCAACTGAAAAGGCTTGGTCTCCCCACCTCTTATATCTAGTCCTTGGGACTTCCAATAAACCCAGATTAACTGATCAGTAAGCTCTAGGAAACCTACAGGGCTTAAAAGCTCGGTAAGATAGAGAAGCATGAGAACAAGCTACTTCTTCCTTCTTCAGTTCTCTTGAAAGCTTGCAGTCTAAAGTCCAATTGCTAACCTTATAACAGAAAGCAAAGATGCCATCCACCTCCCAGTGGTTCTTGCTGGGTTTGAGTGTGTCTGACTTCAGCATGACATCTTGGAGGTGGCCCATCATCGTATCTATCAGCGAGGGTAGAGCCTCACCCTGTAGTGTCTTCAGAAAAGTTTGATGGAGGTTCTCTGTAGTGTAGCCATGGCGAGGGTCAAAGCTGTCGTGGCCAAATGCCTGGTGAGGGGAGCAAAACAAGGTTTAAGTCTATTAAGGGACTCACTGAAAGCATGAAAAATAAAAATATACTGACAACATGGCATAAATAATAAAAACTGAAATCACTTAAATTTACCTTGACAGATGTAGCAAAGTGGAACTTGTTCCAATCAAGGTGTCTCCCCTGTCTGATCACTGAATGGTAAGAGAAGGGGTCACACAGGAAATGGATATACCGTCCTGCAATCTTGCAGGTGAAAATATGGCCATACTTCTTCTGGCGGCTGTGGAGGAACTGGAGAGGGTTGGCCCCGAACTGCAAAGCACAGCCCAGGTATGGAATGAAGCCATTTTCAAGTGCTGGCTCACCTGATTGCCTGTGGGCATTGACAAGAAAGAGACAGCAGACAATATTCAGCACAAAGCCAAAACAACCTGAAAGGATCCACAAGCTTTTTATATTACGGCACTGTTGTTTCTTGTTGTTTTTATAGTAGTTAATCGTCATCTTGCTACTTAGTATTAACGACTACTACTCAGAAACAGTCATTCAACCAATAGCCAGCTTATGGATGTTTTTACTTGTCAGCTCTGTACAAAAGCTGCTGGGTCTGTCAATTTTTTATGAAACCAGAAGAACAGCCTTGAGTGTCAGTGCGGTTTTTGGATAATTCAATTCACTCTTAGAGTGAATGCATAAAATACTTCCTTCAAGTAATCTGAAAACATAAAAAACACCAAATATGATGGCACATGGTTTGCACTGAACCCTGGCAGCAAAAGTGAGGGAAGAAACGAGGAATAGCATGCAACAAAATCTCTAGGCATCTCTTAGTTCACCAGGATGCCCTGTGGCCATTGGTTTCAGGGTTTTTACAGTGTAATTATGATGTCAATGCTTCAGTTGTTCTCCCCCCATATTTGTCACCACTCTCCTAGTGACTCTCAAATAAAAGCATAAAATGCATCCCAACATACTTAAAAGATAAATAGTTTCTACTGCTTAATGAACTTTTTTCCCCCCCTCATGAATGCTGATGATGTCTGTTTTCATTAAAACCCATTCATACCTTGTCAGTCACCTCAGCTGAACCATAATCCTCCTAACAACCACAACATTTCCAAAACATTATAAACCAGTTTCCGGCTGTTGTCAACCTGACTGTGAGGTATCATCATTCTTAAACAAAGAAGCACCTAATTAGTCCATCTACAACCTCACAACAAATGGCTATTGAATACACAGCTTAAGGTTTGACAGCATCAGCTGACAACACACTGGTGACAGTGGTTGTGAATCAGCAGCATACCAAGTAAATTCAGTCATCTGAAACAGCTTTTGTTTGATTTGACCTCAGTGCATAATGGTTATGTCATACACAGTGATATTATACATCAGTGGCCACATGCATCACACACATTATTGTTGCTTGCCTGGAAAAACTATGTCAACACTGATCTGTACGCAGTCAACTAAATATCAGTATTGTTCAGAAGATTCTGATTGTTTACTGTTCTAGACACACTGAACAAGAAATATCTAATACATTGCATCTTACACATCCTATGGCCAGTCTTACCTGTGTCGTGTCCCCACAGCAAGCCACAGAAGGCAGCAGAATCCCACTACTAATGCCCAAATCAGAGCGATGCTTATTATCATGGTGATGATGGATCCAGCTCAGGAGGAGGCTCAGTAACAGCTACTGTTGCTCCACACGGATCACACTGACAGGAGCTGTGTTTAACAAACTGTTGCTCTCTCTATTAAAGTGAACAGTCCTGGAGAGAAACTGTGTAATCAATCTGTGTGCATGTGTCAGTGAACAGTTTTGGTGTGATGACAGGCACTGTAGGGGAGGTTTTTTATAGCAGCTTTGTTCCTTAGGGTCAGCCCAGGGGTGGCAGTTTGTGTGTGTGTGTGTGTGTGTGTGTGTGTGTGTGTGTGTGTGTTCACCGTTGTGTCTTAGGGTGAGAGCAGGGGTGGCAGTGTGTGTGTGTGTGTGTGTGTGTGTGTGTGTGTGTGTGTGTGTGTGTGTGTGCAACAAAATGAGAATTACCTCATCTGCAATGATGTTCTTTGAGATAACCTTGTATATATTTTTGGATAATGTAATGCATTTGTTAAAAATAACTTCTAAATGTTCTGGTGGTTGTTAATGTTCTAACCTGCAATGATAATGATAATGAGGATAATGATTTCTGGTCAGTTCTGTTTATATCTCAGTAGAAAATTCAGTTATTTCACATCAAGAAATTAGCATGAACTGTATAATTGTTTTGAAGTGTAATAGAAAGATATGTCTTGATTCTAGATTTCATATTAAGATCATGTTTTGTAGAACTGAAGATACAAAGAGTGTTCTTTGAATTTCATTCAAAACTCTCTAAAGAAGTCAAATGAACTAGTCTGTTATCTAACTGATTTCTCTAGGAAACACATTTCCATGCAAGCTGGGATGGCCTTGACCTGAGTCCATGGACAGTGTTACCTGAAGTACTGCACTGTGATAGTGCAGTGGTAAATAGATTCAAGGTCCCTACTGTGCTCTTTTGGTGTGTGCGTGTGTGTGTGTGTGTGTGTGTGCGTGTGGCTGTAGGTTGGAATGGGAATGAACATTACAGTTGATAGGTATGTCCCCTGTTGTGACAGGTGGAGGAAAAATTTAGTTCATTTAAAAAGATAACCATAAAGGAATGACACTAAAGCTTGTGCTGCACAGTTTAATAGATGGTAAGTTATAATGATGAAGAATCATTCATTTCTGTGTTCTCGGAGACACAAACAATTCTCTAAACATTGGTTCATATAGAATGCAGGCACTTTGACAGTGATGGAGGTGTAGGCAGTAATCCAGGTGAGGGTTGTTCAGAGACATTTCAGTTTAGAAAATGACACAGAGAGAAAGACTAATTATAAGTGTTTTTCTGTGGCTGCTGATTTATTTTCATTTTATGTTTTTGTGAATAATGTTTATTCAGCATTTATAATCAGCAGACCATCTGATTCTAATGTTTATGGTTATGTATATGCTGTATGTTTTGAGTAAGGGTACAGGTGATGTATGATTTTCTCCTCCCTGCTCCGTTTTGGTCATGTACAGTGAGCAGAGAAATAGAACTTTGCACTTATGAAATACGTAGTATTTGAATCCATAATGTATGAAATCCATAGCCTGTCTCACTGTCCTGTAAGAGGCTATCAATGACAATGTCATCAGCAAACTTTAAAATGTGCCTGTTTTCTCACTGATTTCACCAATGATCTTTGTACAGAATAAACAAAACAAGGGAGAGTACGCACCCATAAGGGGACCCTGTTGAATAACAACATATATTTGACATACAACCATTAACATTAATCCTCTGGGATCTATTTGATAGAAAATCTATTATCCATCCCAAAATGTAAGAAATCGATTTTAAAAACACTGAGCCTTTCTACTAAAACATGAGAATTATAATATTAAAAGCAGAAGAGAAGTCAATAAATAAAAGCCTAGTGTGCATCTTTGGTGCTTCCAGGTGACAGAAAAAATGTCACTAAGTTGTTCAACACCTGGTTTCAGTAACTTCCCCAATACAATCAGAACAACTTGGTAGCAGTGGCATGCTTCTGCCTCTCTCTCATCTCAACACTAACATCATGGTTATCAAACTGAAGGAAAAACATATTTCTTCATCTGATCAATCTTTGCTTGCACACCATCAATATTCATCTTTTTTTTTTATTTGCCTTCATCCTGCAACCAAGCCATGGATTTAATTCCATTATAAGCTGCTTTCAGATGAGATGAACCCAATACATGAGTATCTACACCTGATATTCAGTTTGACTTGTTGCACTTATAGAATGGAATGTCAGAAAGGCTTATTGAAACAGTCTGGCATTGTTACAATACAAAAAGGTTTGCACTTCTCAAGCCCATTGGCACTGGGCTATGACTGCTGACTGCAGCTGAGACACAAAAGTCTCCTCTCAGTGCCAGGAGGGATGACATATTGCTGCACATATTATTCAACTTTGTTTGTTTCCCAGTGGATTTCTCACCGACCATGTGAACTGAGGCCAGCACGAGTCTGAGTCTCTGCAACTGACAGACATACACTAAAAAGATATAGAGGGCAGATGAAATTTTATGGGTTCATGAAAAGCTATTAACAGTGCTTCTAGTTTCAAGTGCACATTTATCAAAGGCCTCCTTTTGTACGATGTTGTATTAGATGATGGTAGTAAAATATTTGAATATGAGGCTCCTAGGATCCCATTTTTGAAATGGACCCAGTGACTTTGATTTCATGAAACCAGGATTTCCTCTTTATCTTCTTCTTTAATTATTTTCTTACCAATCAATTGGATTTTTAATCATGAAATGATGAAAACGAAGTTACCTCAGTAGTTTAAGTCATGCTAAATGTCCAAAACAAGGAGAAGATGAATGACCAATGGAAAAGGATGAATGCGAAAAGTACAAAAAAACAAACAAAAATTCTTATAAATGATTTTTCTTTTTCAATTTTAAAAAAAATCTGTTTTAATTTTCAGTTACTCATTTCATTACATTCATTTGACAGCTGCATCTGTTCAGTGTGATTTACATTCAGTGCATCAAACCACACAGGAGCTGTCAGATAACCAGGGTTTGTTGGACCCAAATGCACAACAGGGGACTGTGGGACTGAATAGGAGTTTTATTGTGGAGATAACGAAAGGGGCCAAGCCGTTTTCAGGACTGAGAGCAGTGTAGAAGGCTCTGGTAACCAGAAGTTCCTCCACAGGACCACTGAATCAAACCTGACAGACAACAGGTGAGTAATCATCTGTTGTATGGGACACAGATGACTGGTGACTATATGCTTGGCACAATATTACTGATATCTTTATCCTGTGACATTCAGTGTAATCATATAAGTGAATTTAAGGGGACTTAGGAGATTGCAGAGAATGAGTATCAGAGATAGTATTCAGAGGGTTAGGAGCCATTCAGTCAGCATACACAGATATGAAATCAGATAGACTCACACAAGCAACTCAGGTAAGTAGATGAGATGAATAAGCAGGAGAGGAATCTGCACATGCATCAGGTGAGGACTTCAAAGAAAATGGCAGAGTGAGCAGAAGATGGCAGAGTTCCAGGAGGTTCTCCGACACACAGATGTTGTCTGAACATTGGATTGATGGGGAGATGAAGGTAGTCAAAACAGGAGAGCAACAGTTGCTGATTTTACAAATGGTGCCCTAGTCAAGCTACGACAGCAGGGCCTGTGAACGCCGCTCCCGGCTATCCATCTAGCAAACCTCTGCTCTCTAGCCAACAAAATGGATGAGCTGCTTTTCATCAACTGGACTAATTCTGTTCTTGTGATCAGCAGCGTTGTGCTTTTCCGAGATGTGGTTAAATGACTCGACCCCAGGTGAGGCTGTTATGTTCCTGGGTTTCCAGAGCCACAGAACAGACTGAGTGAAGGAGTAAACTGGAAAGTTGAGGGGAGGTGGAACCTGCTTCTGCATACACGAAGGTTGGTCCTAAGATGCCACACTGTTAGGGAAAACTCGTAACTTGGACTTAGAAGCAGCAGCACCTAGCTGGCCAGATAACTAGCATGGACTCACTCCAGATAACTAGCATGGAACAGAAACACATATAATTATTCTATGGGATTTTAACAGAGCAAACCTCACCCGTGAACTGCCCAAATACAGAAGCACATCAATTGTCCCACCAGTGACAAGAACACATTGAACCACTGCTACATGGCAATAAAAAATGGCTATCTCTCTGTCCCCCATGCAGCTCTAAGTCTCTCTGATCACTGCATGGTCCATCTTATAACAACCTATAGGCAGAAATGTACAGCTGTGAAACTTGTGGTCAAAAACAGTGAAGACATGGACTGAGGAGGCAAAGTCAGAGCTACAGGCCTGTTTCATTTGTAAAGACTGGAGTGTTTTTTAAACTGTAACTCCAGACCTATTTGAACTCACTGACACTGTGACATCAGCTTTTGTGAGGACATGTGTGTGCCCAATAATACCCTCTGTACATATAACAACAACAAGCCCTGGTTCACAGCTAAGCTCAGGCAGCTTCCTTGTGCCAAAGAGGAGGCCTAACAGAAGTGGGGACAGGATCCTCTACATGCAGGCCAGGAACACATTGACAAGGGAGATAAGATTAGCAAAGAGGAGCTACTCCAAAACAACAACGACTAATAAACATGAAATTTGTTATCAGTTATTACATTTCTCTGTCATGAAAGTGGCATTATCCTGAGTCACAGTCAGCTCTGGAAAACTGATACTATTTAGATAGCTGGCTGGATATCTGGCACGGTGGTTGGGTCAAACATTCTCCATAACTTATAATGTATTCAGCAGCAGACAGTAGAGACACTGTAGCTTTATTTTATAGTAACAATCAATAAGATGGTTCTGTCAATTTAATTATAAAATGTTCAGTTAAATGACAATCACATTATAGAAGTTGTACTGTAATAGATATCAGGGGGATGTGCGAACTTCACATTACCTGCAGAGTTTGTCCAGCTATAAACAAAATCGAGTTGCTGTGTTATAAATGCAGATAAAGAGTGATATGTATAACCCTGAATAAATGCAGCTGATCTGGCTGTCAAGGTCAAGGTTAGGGGATAAATGAGGAGCTGTTGTATTTGTTTGTTAGATTTCACTTTCTTATCTAGTTATTATATAGTAGCCCAACCTTTGCACCTTTGACAAAAAAATGATAATCTGTGTAGCAAAAGCTTTCATGATAGGTAACATTATAATGTTACGGTTCTCGGTAGTAATACTGTACTAT